AACTGAGAAACCAGGGTATCAATCTCATCTCTAGACACTCAAAAGAGGATGAGTGAGAGAAACACAACTCCAAGGCTATCAGCCCGTAGAGCATGAACTCAGAACTGTGGCGGCATGTTTACAGAGAAGGGAAAGACAGTGGCCTAGGAGCAACTGAAATGGAGCAAGGGAGATGGCTGCCTCCTCCCCTGATGATGAGGGAGGTGGATGAAGATGAAGAAAGAGCCGCAGGCAGCAGTATCCTCAGGAGAGGCTAATGAGAATTTTGCCCATAACTGATTTCCGTGTGTCAAAACAAAGGGTTGGAAATTGGGAAGGATAGGGTCATCAGTGTAGAATGCCATTGTCTGTACATGCTGTGCAGTTCGTATCTCTGTTTTATAGCATGATAACTTTCATAGCTGCAAATCCAAGCAGCAGTTCCTCTAGAAAGCTACACTCATTTTCATCCATCTATTAGGTGCTGCTCTTCAGGATGCACTCTAGCTAAGCCTTTATGAGATTATTAATCCCTCATTTATTTGTCTCCTACTCTAGACTTTGAGTCACTCCACATCTCTATTATCTGTTTACATACATGAGTACCTAAGCTTTATCTCCCCTTTGTTCACTTCTGTATGCCTGTTTATAATATCTTGAGTATATGGTATGGGATATGTTTGAATAGATGGCTGGAGGGATGGATAGACGCATGACTGTTTAATGCCAGGGACCATACCCACATCATAATAAGGACTTAAAATTGTATGTTTAATTTATTAATGACTTTTCACTGAAAAGCAGCCTGACTGGTACTAATTGAGGACTCATAAGAAAAGAATATCCTTTGCTCCAAGCGATTTCCAGCCTAATGGAAAACTTCCAGGTCATATGGACTTTATCAAGGGCAGAAAACAAAACATAAGTACAGTTGCCTAGAACTGTCACAGTGTTTATGTTATTTATACTCGTGGCACAAGTACAGTTTAGGCATACCTCATTTTATTGTGGTTGGTTTTACTGGGCTTTCCAGATAATTGCTTTCTCTCTCCCAACAAACTAAAGCTCTGTGGCAGCTGCATGGAGCAAGTCTGTTTACTGGTCCCCTTCCCAACAGCGTGTGATCACTTCAGGCATCTGTGCTACATCTTAGTGATTCTCACAGAATTTCCAACTTTCTCATTATGTCTGTTACAGTAATTTGGGATCAGTATCCATTGATGTTACTACTGTAAATGTTTCTGAGTGCCACAAATCATGCCCATATAAGATGGCCGGCCCAACCCATTAGCATCATCTGTGTCCTGACTAGTCCATTTACCTGTGTCTCCCTAGAGCCCCTGAAACACAGTAAGGAAATGAAACCCTTAAGCTCACACATGGAGGTCTCTTACATTCCCATATGAAAGAAGAATCTCCTCTCTCTCACTTTAAACCAAATGCTAGGAAGGTTAAGATTGGTGAGAAAGACATACAAAAAGTATAGGCAAGCCAAAAGCTAAGCCCACTCTACCAGTTAGTCAGGTTGTAAAGATGGAGGAAAACTTTTAAAAGATACACTGATTTTTTTTTATTTTATTGTTAAAAGTTGCAAATAAAAAACACACTGGAAAAGAACTTTTTGAAGGGGATTAACGTGAGTGATAATAAAACAACCTAAAATAGCCCTGTTATTAATGTGGAGAAAGTTATTGGTCTGAATAGAAAGTCAAAACAACCACAATATTCCCCTTAGCCAAAGCCTAATCTACAACAAGGCCTTAGTTATCTTCGGTTCTATGACAACTGAGAAAGGCGAAGGCCCCACAGAAGGCGAATTCGATGCTAGCAGAGGTTGCTTCATTTGGTTCAGGGAATTAAGTTGTCTTCATAACATCCAAGGGCACAATGACGCACCCAGTGCTGATGCAGAAGATGCAGCATGCTATGCCTAAGGTCTAGAAAAGATAAATGATGAAGGGGGCTACACCAGCCAACAGGCTTTCACCACAGATGAAGCAGCCTTCTACTGGAAGATGCCATGTCAGACTTTTATAGCCAGAGAGATGTCAATGCCATTGTCAAAGCTTCAAAAGCCCGACCAATTTTCTTGCTAGGGCTTAATGAAGCTGGGGCTTTTACATTGAAGCCATTGCTAACTTACCGTTCTGAAAACCCTAGGGCCCTTGAGATTTATACTGTCTATTCTGCCTGTCCGCTGTAAATGGAACAAAGCCCAGATGATATCATATCTGTTTAAAACATGGTTTGCAGACAATTTTAAGCCCATTATTGATACATACTATTCAGGATAAAAAAAGAAAAAAAAAAAAACAATTCCAAGTATGACTGCTAATTGACATTAGCACCACGTGTCACTCAAGAGCTCCAAAGGAGACACAAAATCCACTCTGCGATGGATACAATTTTTATTTTCAAGTCTTATTATTGAATAAATATGTATGCATATACCTAGTAGCATAGCATACACCTGAAATCCCAGAACTCAAGACATAGGGTCAGGAAGATCACAGATTCAATGTCATCCTAGGCTATTAGTGAGTTTGAGGTCAGGATGGAATAAACAAGGCCATGTCTCAAAAAACGAAGTGGAGAGAAGAAATAAATGAGAGAATGGAGGAAGAGAGACAGAAAGAGAGGAGAGGGAAGGAATGAGAGATCTGGGGGAGAAAAGTGGAGAGAAAACCAAATTTGTAAGGCTACAACATCTTACACACCAATACTTGTGGATCTTGGCAAAATAAACCAAAACTCTCCCAAAGAATTCAACATTCTAAATGAAACAAAGAACATTTGTGATCCATGGCCAGAGGTCAAAATGTCAATGTCAAGAAAATTTGAGCTGGCCATGGTAGCACACACCTGTAATCCCAGTATTCAGGGAGTGGAGGCAAGAGTTCAAAGTTCATTTCTTTTACATGAGATTGAGGCTAAGCTGGGCTACAGGAGAGCCAGTTCCAAAGCGGAGGAAGGGGGAAGTTTGCAAGAAGTGAATTCCAAAGCATGGATGGCTTGAGGTAATTCAAGATTCAGTGAAGGAGGTAGTTGTGGATATGCCGGAAATAGCAGAAAGATTGGAGTTGGAATTGGAGCCTGAAGATGTGGCTGAATTGCTTTTAATCTCATGAAAAACACTTAAACAGAGAAGTACGTTTAATTGATGAGCAAAGCAAGTAGATTCTGAGGATGGAATCCACTCTAAGAGGATGCAGTGAACACCATTGGAAGAAAAAAGCATTGAGTATTACATAAACCTGCTTGTTAATGCAGCAACAGGTTTGAGGAAACTGACCCCGATGTTGAAACACATCACTAGTATGAATAAAATACTGTCAAACACCATCATGTTGCAGATTAATCTTTCCCAAGAATAGCAGTTAATCAACACATCAAACTTAATTTCTGGCTTACTTCAATAAGTTCAGGAAATGGGGCATAGAACTAAACTAAATAATTCTCAGAAGATGAAATACAAATGGCTGACAAACATTTTTTAAATGTCCACCTTCCTTGGTCACCTGGAAAATGCAAATTAAAACTTACCCCAGTCAGAATGGCTAAGGTTAAAATAATCAAATGACAATGACGACGACAAATGTCCTTTGCAGGAGAAAGAGAACTAATAAAGGGAATACAAACTGTTGCAACCATTTCAGAAATCAGGTTGGAGGGTTCCCCAAAAGTTAGAGATCGATACACCACATGGTTTGGCTATACTACTCTCGGGCATACCCTGAGGTCTATATTCTGTTCTAGAGATACAGCTCATCCATGTTCAATCCTGCTATACTCACAATAGCCAGAAAATGGATAATGATACAGAAAATGGATAATGAAAACATGCAAGGGTAGAGAAGGAAACCTAGGAAGGACTAACACTAGAGAAACACTAAAGCCCTTTGGGAAGAGACATATGGAAACCTACTACTATAGAAGGTTCCTAAACTGTATATATGCACGTATGTATGTATGTATGTATGTATGCAGTTCATAATTTAAATGGCATTACCCTATTATAAGGCAACAATGCCCCTACTAGGCACTATAAACATTATTGCTAACAAAAAGCCTAGTACTCGGAATGGATTACATCTTTTAGAGTTACTGGCCAGTCAGGGTCCATAGAACTTGACAATAAGACCCTACTGTTGAAGACAACCCAATTCAGAACAATTCCAGGGAGTGGTATTAAAATGCAGGTATCCAAGTTTCTCCAAGAGAGATCCTGATTTGGTTTACTTGAGGTTAATTTCTGCAATAAGCCTTTTAAAAAACACTCACAACCAGTGGCCCATAAATCACATTTAGAAGAACGGGACTCTTTTTCTGGCATTAAAGGCCCTTCATGGGCTCTTTGTGTCTACTTCTGCCTTATTTCTCATTATTCTCCACCTCTGGGCAGTCTGCTTACACCACCAAACAACTTTCCCTTTGCCCTACATACTGTACTCTTCATTCCAGACTGTCATCTTAACTCCTCTTAATGTTAAGTAGCCACTAAAGTTGGTTTCCTCTTCTTTGCTTGGGCGACTTAGACCTATTATCTTCAGTACCACAGCACTTTGAGTCCATGTGGGTGCATGCACCCATGGGTACACAAGTGTTTGTATGTGCTAATTTGCAATGCCACAACTTTCATGGGATTTTGCTTGCACATTCATCTAAAATTTGCACATCAAAATTCTGCATATCTTCACTATACTATTCTTTGAAGGTAGGGGTTTCCCCTTCATCTCTTCAGTCCCTCTTTGTCTCTCTCTGTCTCTCTCAGCTCTGTCTCTCTCTCTCCCTCCCTCCCTCCCTCCCTCTCTCTCTCTCTTTCTCTGTTTTCTCAGGCATTTTTCAGATTTTACAGCTAAAACAGCACCTGTTGCTTTTCAGCCTCGCTTCCCCGGGCCAACTTTACAATCCGTATCATGAACTACCAATCCCAGAATGCTGAGCGAGAGCGAAGGGGCGGACTCTCCGAAGCCACCGATTGATTGGTGAACTCGGGAGCTTTCTTCCGGAAAGGCCCCGGAAGCAGGAACTCGGGAAGGGAATCGGGGCTCTGTACGGGACTGGGAGGGGCTTGTGCCTGAGCCCCGGGGTCCCCATCCGCTGAGGAGATGGATGAGGATGGGCTTCCTCTCATGGGGTCAGGCATAGACCTGACCAAGGTTTGTAAAAGATAGACTTAAGCTTCCGGCGAACAGGGAAGGAGCTTGACCAAGGGGCCCCGGTTCCCCGGGAGACGCCACCTCTCCGGGCCCAACCTGGGCCCCTCTTTTGCTAACCTGGGGAAGGGGGAGCCCCAGCAGTCCACTTTGAAAGGGGTCCTTCCTGGGCTAATTAAAGAGTTGGTGTACCTCGCAGCCTTTCCTCCCCACATCACGTGTCTCTACGCCCAAGGTTGACAGTCCGGAGACAGTGCCACTCTAACACTACCTCTCTTGGATCCTCAAGTTTCTCTCTGTCTGTCTGTCTGTCTGTCTTTCTGTCTCTCCGTGTCTCTCTCTCTCTCTCTCTCTCTCTCTCTCTCTCTCTCTCTCTCTCTCTCTCTCTCTCTCTCTCTCTCTCTCTCTCTCTCTCTCTCTCTCTCTCTCTGTTTTGCACATTCTCAAACTTTATGCAACCCCTGTCACTTTGACACACGCAAGGTTCAGGAAAACAAATCAGAGACTATTCTCAGCCCATCTCGAAATTCATGTCCCAGGGCAAAACCATACCCTTTATGAAATCCAGATACCCAAAGGGCTGCACAGTGTATGTTTCTCCGGTAAGAATCATATTTGTTTGTTTTTACACAACACAGGTGCCAGCTATTCAACAGAAAAGAACCGTGGCCTTTCTAAACCAGTTTGTGGTGCACACTGTGCAGTTTCTCAACCGGTTTTCCACAGTTTGTGAGGAGGTAGGTCCTGTGCTGCTCGTTTATGGAGTAGCCAAGAAGTCCTCTTCCACCTCTGAGGTTAACGTAATCAGACTAGATTTTCAGACTTTGTTTATTCACGCTGCCATAACCTTCTTCAACTGTGTTAAGACACCTTAGCATCCCCTTTGATTCTGTTACCATCAGACCTGAGGCCTGTACCCTCAACTGAATTAGTATTCTAGAAGTTTCTCTGAGATAGCTCAGTCAAGTTTGTTGATTATGAGACCAAAACCAAGAAAAAATAAAAACACCCCAGAAGTTCACAGTTGAATTTTTTTTTAATTTTAAAGTTTCTTTTTTTATTTTCCTACTCCAGAGATTTATATTTTAAGTATATGTTTGGGTTTATATTAAATTACTTTGCATTCTTTGAGCCAAAAATGGTTCAGGGAGGTAGCCTAGAAATACAATTTTCAAAAAATACCCCTCTGCAGATGGCTGGATAACTGTGAAGGAAGAAATAAGCACATAATTAAGAAATAGGAGCCAGATCCAGGAACTCCTCTGATCTTTGAGAAAGATTTTTGTTTGTTTGTTTGTTTTTGTTTGCTTGGTTGGTTGGTTTTGGTTTTTCTCTGTGTAGTTTTGGTGCCTGTCCTAGATCTTGCTCTGTAGACCAGGCTGGCCTTGAACTCACAGAGATCCGCCTGCCTCTGCCTCTCGAGGGCTGGGATTAAAGGCGTGTGCCACCACTTTGTGTTTTTTTTAAGGATGAGGAGGAAAATGAGACTATATGTTGAGACTGAATTTAAGAAAGGAAATACAAAAGACTTAGACAATTCACAGCGGAATAATTGAATATTCTCTTGTTTTACATTGTCTTGTGTCAGGCGTATCCTTAACAAAGCAGAGCTTATGCTAGACGTGGCTGTTAATCAGAATTGCCTGCAGCCGGGCGGTGGTGGCGCACGCCTTTAATCCCAGCACTCGGGAGGCAGAGCCAGGCGGATCTCTGTGAGTTCGAGGCCAGCCTGGACTACCAAGTGAGTTCCAGGAAAGGCGCAAAGCTACACAGAGAAACCCTGTCTCGAAAAACCAAAAAAAAAAACAAAAAACAAAAAAAAAAAAATAGAATTGCCTGCAGACAGGACACTTCTCATTTGTGTGAAATTCGAGCTGTTTAGTTGTGGATTGTGATAGAGGTCTTGAACAGGCTAGGCAGGCACCCTTACCACTGAGCAATATCCCAAGACCCAGCTGTTGTTTTATATCATTATCAAAAATATCTTCAGCTTTTCCATGGAGACAAATGGAGGAAAAATGTAATTACTAATGGTACAGTAAGGAGCTCAATTCTGTGTATTTTACATATCCATAGCCCCAGAGACTAGGTGCTTGTTCCCAGGTAGTTCTCTCTCTCTCTCTCTCTCTCTCTCTCTCTCTCTGTTTTCTTTTTCTTTCTTCTTTTTTTTTTTTTGGTCATTTATTTAATTATTTAAAAGATTTATTTTTATTTTTTGTGTGTGAGTGTTTTGCTCACATGTTTGTCCGTCCACTACATGAGTGTCTGGTGCCCACAGAGATCAGAAGAGGGCATCAGATCACCTAGAACTGTAGTTCCGGACAGTTTTGAGCCACCATGTGGGTACGGGCAATCCGTTCTGGGTCCTTTGCAAGAGCAAGTGCACTCAGCTGCCGAGCCATCCTTCCAGCCTGTTCTCTCTTAGGGTGTCGCTTCTCTGATAGAGTAAGGAACCCACTGAGTAAAAACCAGTATGCCAAGATTTTCACCATTCAATTTTCATAGCACCCTTTTTACTCTAGGTTAGTGTATACAGCAGAAAGCAGCAAGTGTTCATTCCCTACAGTTGTGAAGTTGCCCTTTCTGAGTTAAATAAAACTAGCAAACAGGCTAGGAAAGGAATGTGATGTAAGCTGCTCAGGGCAAGGAGAGCCCCTGGTCTTTATAGGCCCTCCAGTTCCCGCTGTCTGGAGAACGGGTGTTACCTGTTGACAATGGAGTCTGAGATGGCGAGTTTCAGTGTCTGATACCTTAGGGATGAGGCAGTGTCCTACAATCCACACTTTCACCCTCCAGCTCTTCCACTCTCAGCTTTCCCCACAGCCCTCTAGTGTTTCCTTGAACTCAAGAAAAAAGGGCGTAAGGCAGAAAGCACAAATAATACAGTGTTAGTCTATTGCCTTTTCTCTCTTTTTTATGTGTTTATTTTAACAAGTTACATGTATGTCCCTATGGTGAAAAGTATGCTGCCTTGATTCCCGTACCCTCTAAGGAATCTATAAGTCATGAGGGCTGCCTCACATACTTTTTGAGGATGGAAAGAGCACCAATTCTAGACTCTTCTTTCTTGAGAGTATGTTTTGCTATTAATTGCAGTCACCTTAATGTATGGGAAATATATTGAACTTTTTCTCCTAAGATTCTGTGCCTTTGAGCAACAGCTTCCCAGTCCTCCCATCTCCCCCACCCCACCTCTGATCACCATTATTTTACTCTGTTTTTTAATTTGAACTTTTTTATTTAAAAAATTAAGCTAAACTTACATCATTACATCATTTCCTTGAACTCCCTCCATCTACACACACACACACACACACACACACACACACACACACACACACACACACCTTGCTCTCTCTCAGACTTTATATCCTCTAGCCAAATTGGATTTTTTTTATATTGCAAATGGAAATGAGATCATATAGTATTTGTCTTGCTATGCCTGGCTGAGTTCACTTATTGGTGTCCTCTGGATTCATCCATGTTGTCAAATGTGAAGTGTTCCTTCAGCGTTTTCCCGTGTGTGTGTGTGTGTGTGTGTGTGTGTGTGTGTGTGTGTGTGTGTAATATTTTTTTTTTCCTTTGGTTTTTCGAGACAGGGTTTCTCTGTGTAGCTTTGCGCCTGTCCTGGAACTCACTTGGTAGCCCAGGCTGGCCTCAAACTCACAGAGATCCGCCTGGCTCTGCTTCCCGAGTGCTGGGATTAAAGGCGTGCGCCACCACCGCCCGGCTATATTTTGTTTATTTTTGTTTATCCGGTCATGGTTCACAGACATTTACGCTGGTTCTGTACCCTGGCTGGGGTAAGGCTACTGTGAACAGCAAAGTGCAGATGCCTCTTGCACAGACCAATGCCACTTTCTCTGACTGTGTAACCAGAAGTGGAATCACTAGATCTTCAAGGAGTTACATGTTTCTCTTCTTTCTTGAATTGCTGTACTGTTTTTCCAAATGGCTATGTCCATTTTCATTCCTACCAGCAGTACAAATGGGCTGCCTTTTCTCTACCTTCATGCTAATTCTTGTATTTTTTTAAATCTAATAATCTTCTAACACTGATCTTCCAGTGGATGTTAGGTGGGTTCTCATTCTATTTTAATGTGCATTTTCTTTATGATAAGTGATGTGAAAATTTTTTTCCCAAGTATCCATTCCATTTCTCTTGATAGTTATCTGTTCAGGTGCTTTCTTCATTTCATTTTCTTTTTCCTTTTTCTTCCTTTTTTTTGGCTTTTTTGAGACAGGGTTTCTCTGTGTAGTCTTGGCTATCCTGTAACTCACTCTCTGTAGACCAGGCTGGCCTTGAACTCAGAAATCCATCTTCCTCTCTGCCTCTCTGCCTCCCGAGTGCCGGGATTAAAGGCGTGCACCACCACTGCCCCACTTCATTGTCCATTCCTTAAAACGGAATTGTTTGCTTTCTTACTATTGAGTTGTTGTGGTTCTTTATAATTTTTTTTTTTGACTATGACCATGCTGAGATAGACAGCGTATAGACATCTCCCATCCATAGGGTGTCTCTTCTCCTCGTCGACAGGTCCGTTCTGTGCAGAAGCTTTTTGCTGCAAGTACATTTGCTGCTTCTGCTTTTGGGGTCACTTCCAGCCAATGGTTGTCCATTCAACTGCCCAAAGTTTCTCTCCCGTGTCTTCTTTGTCTGGTGGCTGTGTGGTTTCAGATCTTACATGTGAGTGTTCTACCCGTGTTGCATTGTTTTTTGTGAATAGTGTGTGATGTGAGCTCTAATTTTATCCTTTTGCTTATATATATCCTGTACCATTTGTTGAAGAAACTGTCCTTTTTTTTTCAATTGTGTCTTCTTGTCATGTTTGTGAAAATCAGTTGATCGTGAATGTTCAGCTTTATTTTGGGTACCCTGTTCTGTTCCACAGCCTGTTTTTACCAGCACCATACTGATTTGGTCTGTATAGCTTTGCCGTCAGTTTTTAAGTCATTGTGGTGGTTTGAAAGAAAATGCCCCTCAAAGGGAGTGGCACCATTAGGAGATATGGCCTTGTGGGAGTCAATATGGTCTTGTTGGAGGAAATGTGTCACTGGAGAAGTGGCTTTGAGGCCTCGTCGATACTCAAGTTATCTCCAAGTATTTCAGACTACTTCCTGTTGCTTGTGAGTCAAGATATAAGAACTCTCAGCTCCTTCTCTAGCACCATATCTGCCTGCATGTTGCCTTGCTTCCTGCCATGACAATAATGGACTAAACCTCTGAACTGTAAGCCAGCCCCAGTTAAGTGTTTTCCTTTATAAGAGTTGCCATGGTCATGATGTCTCTTCACAGCAATAGAAACCCTGACTAAGACAGTCAGCTAAACATCTATGTTAGCAGAACTTACAGTCACAGGAACAGGAAGAAAAATTTTCCTAGTGGGTTGCTAGGGGTGGTAGTGACTGGAACCATTCTCATTTCTACCCCTTGATTCCTGCACCCATGAATCCTGGCTTTGGGAGAAATTGTACTGTTAGGTGCTGATTCAAAGCATAGACCACCTTCTGGAGAACCCTGCCTCAGCCCTCCAGGCTGCTGCCACCTAACTGGTGGTGTTACTGTGTCTTCAGAAGGCCATTCTACCCTTCTTTCAGGCCAGCTGCTTCAGGATGGTGGAGAATGTGGTAAGACCAGTGGATGCCATGAGCATCTGTGATGTAAGTTCCTAGGTCAAAAGGATGCTGTGTGGAATACCATGATGGTGGATAAGGCATTTCCAAGCTCACAGATGGT